AAAGTTCTATTGTTCTCGCCTATTTTGCCACAAACAATTGTTTAACAGTAATGTTAAGTAGTTGTAGCCCTTTTCTATGAATTCCTTTGGCATAGACGGTGGTAAGGATTTCTATTCATTTTAAGAATAGCTATCAGAGAAAAAGTTATTTTTTAAAGAAACTTTAGTCTCTAAAGCCGACACAGAAATGACTCTGCTGGAAATTAAAAATAAAACTTTAGGTTACTTCCTTTCTTTGGTGTTAGTGGTAGTAGCAACCCATTGTTATTTTCTGTAGTTGCATAGCCAGTACATCCGTTCAAAGTACGCCATTTGCACTTTTTGTGATGTTATTTGTTTCGCTTAGTGGGGTATCCCCACAACTGCTTGTCTACTTAAGAATATGGTATGGCAAACCGTCATATAGCTCCGTTTTTTAGCTCTATGTGTTTTCTTGCTCATAGTTTACCCTTAATTCCATTGTAAATTATTGTTGAATCGGATTTTTTTCAGTACCTTGTTTCCTTATTCTTGACTTGCTTTTGGTTCTGTTTGACGGCGTAAGGAAATCTTTGATCTTATTTGTATTGACGGCAATAGCAGCATAGAATGTTTCCACTAAACCTTTTCAAATATTATTTTAATTAAATTTTAGTTCGATAACAGCCGATAACTTTAGTTTCGTAAATATTTGCAATGGAAATGGAAATAATGCTCTGAACATGTAATGACATATATAATAGCAAAATAATGGGTGAGATATATCACCTATAATCTTTGTCAATACTGGTTAAGCATGCATATTTCGTGGGTACACTTTTTTACTAACCATCATCTCAATAGCGACACATATACTCACAATACATAGTCCATCACACCAACATACAACTCAAGAAACGTAATAAACCGACAAACAAATCAACTACCATATACAGTGCTTACATCACTTGTCGTGGAATAGCCTCACATTTAGCATCATCGTCATAAAAAGGCATGCAAAATAATTCGCATTGACATTAATATGGTGATGAGATAAATAGTTTTTCGTTCGGTGGACAAAGGAGACTCCCTCCTGCAGGAGGCTTGCCTAAAGTTAACGTCGTGGTTTTGCAATCATTCGTTGTTCTGTTCTTCGTTAGTTGAGAACATGATACAATGAAGAGAATGTAGGCTAAGTTGGAAAATATTGCAAGTAAAGATACGTACCTATATGGATTGTAATGTCAGAATTACTATGAAAACAAATGCAACAAGTTGTTTTGCTAAAAAATTGAATGAAATGCCAAAGTTTCTTTTCAAGATCATGCTCTATATTTCTCTAAAGATATATTTCGCTACAAAAAGTGTAACTTATGTCCATATTTTATCCAATTATACCCGAGCTTCATTATCACAATTATCCTCGTATTATCCGTAACCCGGACACTTCCATTCACCAGAGTTGCCGATTATTTTCCAATCGTATCCAAGCCGAACATTATCATCGTAAACCCTGGATACTCGTTGTCCGTTCATCAGAGATCCTGATTACCTTCGAATGGTCACACTCCGAACGTTATCATTGTGGTTCCCGACGACTGTTCTCCAGAATTCCCGATTAGCCGCGGATCATCCATAACTGGAACCTCGTGATTACCGACGACAATCGCCTACAACCCGAATAACATCGTCGTAATCCCCATACATCGCAGCTCCCGATTTTTTTTAAATCGTATTTAACCCGAATACTACCCCGATTATCGCACATAAGAATTTTGTTTAAAATTATGCAACTTCACTTTAATTAAATTTTAAGTTTAATTGGTGAAAATCGGTTCAAATATATCTCGAAAATACCTCTGCCAAATTTTATAGAGATCGGTTCAGATTTATATATACCTTCGATAAACATCTTCATCCGATTTCACGGTTATTGCTTACCATATATATAATATCAGCCCAAATTGAATAGATTTTTTCATATTCAACCGAATTTTACCATTTAGTGAAACTCGGTCTGGTATATCTGTTGTTCCAATAAATATTTTTTATACCCTACACCACAAGGTGGTCAGGGTATTATGCCTTTGTGCATTTGTTTGTAAGAGGCAAAAGGAAACGAGATTGACCCATAGTTCCTTTGAATGATCTGCATAGAATCACATTCTGAGTCGATTTATGCATGTCCGTGCGTCCGTCTGTCCATGTATTTTTGTGAACAAAGTACAGTTCGCATTTATTACCCTATCCATATGAAATTTTGCACAAATCATTTGTTTGACCCAAGAACGAACCCTATTGGACCTGACAATAAGTATGCCAAATTTGATCGAAATCGGCTCAGATATAGCTATAGATCCCATATATATTGTTCATCCGATTTGTTATTTTTGTCCTCCGCACCCGTAATATGCACTTTGCAACAACAATATTTGGGGAAATATATCAGATACAGCTCAGAACTAAATTTGCTAAATTTTATCGAGATCGGTTCAGATTTGGATATAGCTCCCATATATAACTTCGTCCGATTTACCTTTGATTATGCACCAAACGTTTAATATTTGCCCAAATTGGATGAAATTTGGCACTTACGACTGAATTGATGTTCAGATATAGCTATAGTATGTTCAGATATAGCTATAGACTTTAAAACTTTTTATACCCTACACCACAAGGTGGTCAGGGTATTATGTCTTTGTGCATTTGTTTGTAACAGACAGAAGGAAACGAGATAGACCCATAGTTCCTTTTGATGATCTGCATAGAATCACATTCTGAGTCGATTTATGCATGTCCGTCTGTCCGTCTGTCCGTCCGTCCGTCCGTCCGTCTGTCCGTCCGTCTGTCCGTCCGTCTGTCCGTCCGTCCGTCCGTCTGTCCATGTATTTTTGTAAACAAAGTACAGGTCGCATTTATTGCCCGATCCAGATGAAATTTTGCAAAGATCTTTTGTTTGGCCCAAGGACGAACCCTATTGAAATTGGAGATAATCGGTCAAAATTTAGATATAGCTCCCATATATATCTTCGTCCGATTTACCTTTTATTGTGCACCAAACGTGTAATATCAGCCCGAATTGTATGGAATTTTGCATATACACATAAATTAGGCCTGAAAATATGTATGCCAAATTTGATCGAAATCGGTTCAGATATAGCTATAGCTCCCATATATATTCTTCGTCCGATTTGTTATTTTTGTCCACCGCAGCCGTAATATGCACTATGCAACAACAATATTTGGGGAAATATATCAAATACAGCTCAGAAATACATTTGCTAAATTTTATCGAGATCGGTTCAGATTTGGATATAGCTCCCATATATAACTTCGTCCAATTTACCTATTATTGTACACCAAACGTCTAATATTTGCCCAAATTGGATGGAATTTGGCACATGCCACCGAACTCAGTCTAGAAGCTAGTATGCCAAATTAGGTGAAGATCGGTTCAGATATAGCTATAGCTCCCATATATATTATTCATCCGATTTGTTGTATTTGTTACCCACAGCCGTAATATGCTCCGTTACAACCATATTCAGGGATATATATAATCATAGCGTGTATGATTGAATTCTCCCATAAAAACTTTTAATTGTTATGCTAAGCTCAACTAAATTAGCAAAGTGGTGTAGGGTATCATAAAATCGGCCCCGCCCGACTTTAGGACTTTTATTACTGGTTTAAATATTATAATCCTTATAGAAGTCACATCATACACTATACAGAAATGTTATTTGGATCATATTATTAACTTCACATAAATTCCCAATATAAACTTTTTTTGTTACGGGAGCTCTACTAAATACGCATAGTGGTGTAGGGTGTCATATAGTCGGCCCCGCCCGACTTTTGACCTTTCCTTACTGGTTACTCTCCACTTTCATAATCTACTAAGTTTTTCCTATAATTATATTTAGTGTTGCACAGTTTAATATTTTTTTTTTAATTCCTTTTGCAACACATGCTTTGAGCTATACCTTTATTAAAGCTTTACTCATATTTAGTTGTTTGATAAATATTTCAATAGACACCTTCTCCAACACACGACAATATTTAAGCATTTGGTAAAAACGAAATTACAACTACAAGACTTACAGGGAGTAACAACGGCCTCCTATTGATACAATCTGGTCAATTATTCGTATTTTCTTTTAATTTACTCTCATAATTCATTCTTACTCTCATATTAATTATATTTGTGTTTTCGGTAGTTTTAACAAAAATTCTTTTTGCTTTGTATTTTCCCAGACAAAACATTTCAATCAGTGTTCACATACAAAATTCAATGGTTTTTCCAAATGTGTCATAACATTTGTGTGCCCACATCAACAAAACAATCATTGATCCCATGACACTCATTTCTCAACTCAATATTCAATACTTGCCGTGCTATGAAGTGCAACATTTGTCCTTAATACGATTTTAAGTTTTGACATTATCAGCTACTTAACCGAGTTTCACTCAAAAAGGCGAATACATTTGTACGAACACGAAGTGGTCTTTAATGCCATTAGTATCAATGGTGTTGCATAATTATTTTGTGGCATTTGACAATGACACCACAATCACCAGCCAATATTATTATTGGCTTGCAATTACAACTTGAAGTGAATGTGAGAGAATGATGTGTTATTTATTTAATGGACATTTAAAGGGCAATCAACAAGTGTTTGGCGCTAAATGGTTGCGTATTAATGTTCCTAATTTTATTGTTCGGTGAGACAAAAATGCAATTCTTTTTCAATAATTGCAGGAAAGCCAAGTAGATTATGGAAGTAAAATTTAAAAGGTGGGTCATATAGGTCCATGTTTTTATATAGCCTCTATACAACGGCATTGCCAAATAAAAGGTTTTGTGGATGTTTTATCCATATTTTTTAACCAAATTTACTGTAAAATCGTTTCGAACCTTGTCGAAACCACAGTTCATATAGTTTTTCACGAACTGTAAGGCATGAATTTATACGAGTGTTATAGGAATTTATATGACTAGTAGGCTGAAAAAAAAAAAAAACAATTTTGTCATTCAAATTTTTGTATTGAGTATTATTACTGGCATAGACTCTGAAAAAACTCAACCAAACGTATTTTTGCAAAAAAAAAAAGAAATTATGTGAATTCAGATTTAAATCCCGAAGAAAATATACATTTTAAAACAAGAATGAGATGCTACCAGCTGGAGTTGTGACAAAATTATTAACCTTGGAATTTGCTGACGAATTGAAGACGCGTTTTTAGTCCGAAAATCAAATACCAATGCCCAATTGTAAGCTATCATGAAGTTCGTATTGCATCTATACCCGAAGGGAAATATATAAAATTTAGTCAACTGTTTTTAAGGTTCGCGGATTTAAGTTCCCGCTACAATATATATTCAAGAAATATTATCTAAAGTTCAACGCTTGATCTGTGTAAATTACGTTGAAGTATTTGGGTAAGTCCAATTCATAATATATTTCATTTTGATTTTTTAGCTATTATCTTTTTGCCATAACTCTTCTTTAAACACCTCACGCACGAGTCCATTGAACATTTTATTTCAGGTTCAGACCTATCCATTTGTCACCTTGATCGTACGATTTAATGCCATTGACAAATTTATTCGTGAGACAGCGGCCGAAATGATGCAAAAAATTATGCCGAAATTGGACCAAGTGGATGGACAATCACCGATTGATAGACACTGATTCGTTCGAAAATTGTTTCAGAACTCCCCAAAAATACTAAAAATGGGGCGACATCCCTAAATATGTACCGATATAACCCATTTTTAATATCAATCAGTGACTAGAGATTTTAAAGGGCCCAGACCCGGCAAAGTTTGGAAAGATTGGCATACACAGAAAGTAAGATTATCAATATACAGCACATTTGGTTCGATATAATAACGGAAACCTTTAAAAACATTGAATCGGAATGCATCATTGTATGGTTGCAATATCACCTATACTGGATCTATAATAAAGTTTTCTTTAGGCAATAGAGATTTTGCCCATTGGGAGCCTGAAATGTTAAACTGACACTTATTCGTTTGAAAATTCTGACTTAAATTCTAAAACTACCGAAAATAGGAAATATGGGGACCAATATAGCTCATTTTCAACGCAGTTGAATGGTAAATTTTTAACGATCTTCGAAAATTCCAAGTTCGTAATTGTTTTAATACATAGTGTCCATATATCCGAAATAGTCACCTGGTGGTCTTTTATGCGTACGTATCCGAATCTATATCCAAAGGAGGAATAACTGCTAAAGGCTGAGCACGCTCGGTGCCAGAAGATAGTGAACTCTTGAGAGGATAGAATGGTTGGTATATGGAGTTAAGAGAAGGAGTTGGTTTTGGTTATGCATACTATAATTATACTAAATGGTGCTAAATTTGTCATGGGGGAAATTGAAGAGTTGAAATACTGTCCTTTTACAGGGTGAGATGAAAAAAATGCAACTAAATTCAGACTGCTGTCATTTCTAAGCCGCTGGTCCGACAGCTGTTAAAATTATTCCAGTGAAAGCTTATTATGTTGTTTACAAGCGTACAAAAGTATTTTGGTGAGAATTTTCCAGAAGAAAAGTTATTCGTAATGGAATTCAAGCGCGATAGTGTGATTTCTTTATATTTGGCTGGAAAACCACATGTGACAATCGTTAGAGCACTCCAGCACTCTTTTGGATATTGGTACTAAATGTTACTGAATTATAATATTGGTCGAAGGGATATAGATGGAATTCTAAAGTTTGATACTATGGCCACTATGGTTTGCATATAGAGACGTTAAAACAGTTTTGGACAGAACAAGTAAAAAACATAAAGTTCGGCCGGACCAAACTTTTAATTCCCCCCACCTTAGGGTAAAGGAAACATTTGAACCCATTTAGTCCCACAAGTACCAATTTTTAGACATATTTGTGGGAAAATTTCGCAAAATATTGAATATCGGGAGGTACCGCTATATGGGGCTATACAAAACCGTGAACCTATACATACAATATTTGGGCAACGGAGCTAGAACCCATTATGGCCAACAAATACCAATTTTTAGACAAATCCGTGAAAACATGTGGCAAAAATCATCAAAATACTGAATATCGGGAGATACCGTTATATGGGAGCTATACCAAAACGTGGACGGATACATCTCATTTTCAATAGCAACCATCGTAGACACAATACAAATTTTTCTGCTAAATTTTGACGCTCTACGTCAAATAATGTGGGCTGTATCGTGATTTCAACAGACAGACATACAGACGGACATCGTTAAATCGATTTAGAATTTTTTGCTGATTATGAATGTATATACTTTACGGTGTCTACGACGAATATTTATGGATGTTACAAACGGAATTTCCAAAGTGGATGGTATAAAAATTAGTTGCGAGTTTTACTATTTTACTACTTTATAAAAAGATCTTAAAGACTTTTTGGTGTAAAAGGCATTTTCCTATTATATTGCAACTTGACTTCATCTCCCACCGATACCGGTAATAGCTATTGCAATCAAAAACTAACTGAAAAAAAAGATGTTAACTCCAGTAGAGTTTTGTTGCTGGTTGCCTGCAAAAAATCTATCCATAGCAAAAATCCTGAAAATAGCTGCGAAAAACTGAAATTAATTTCAAAGACAAATAAAAATAGGGCCAACGGGAACCAATCATTTGCAATAGAGTAAACAAACTAACTTACAAATTATGGGAACGATTATTGCCAAAAACAGAAGTTAGCTGTTTACAATTGCGCCATAGTGACATTTGAGGACAGCTTACAGTGGTGGTACAAAACGAAATAGGTAATCAAGTATTGGCAGCATAAATTCAGCTGAAGTGACTATGAGTTGCCATATATTACCACGCAAATTCGAGTATGAAAGGTGACGCATTTCTGGTTTTTCACCCTACATGGTAAATGAAAACCCTAAATTAAATTTTTAATAGATCCTAACTTGGTTTATCTTTCCGAAGTCATTGGATATTTCTTCACTCATGACATTAAGCCAAGAAGCTTTGCGTTTTAATTCATAAATGTCTTTTCACGAAAATGGTCCAGAATGTGGAATTTCTTTCATTAAAAAATACTGTTGATATAAATCATTTGGTGCACACTAAACGTAAAATCGAAGAAAAACAGATATGGACTCTAATCTAACTCCATCCATACAATTAATACTAAATTGTATACCATGTGTTACCTTTTGTTCTCCTGTAGGACATATTTCCAAAAAAAAACCAGTAAGGAAAGCTCAAAAGTCGGGCGGGGCCGACTATATGATACCCCACACCACTATGCATATTTAGTAGAGCTCTCGTAAAAAGGTTTATACAGGGCATTTCAGAGCTCTATGAGATATTTGGTACAAAATCAAAATCTATCTAATTCTATCGTGCATTTTACGAACTATAGCTATCTCTGAACCGGGTTTCTCCAAATTTTACGTATTCTTCTTCTTCTTCTAGACTGGTGATTTGGGCTGATATTGACCATTTTGTGCACATTTAACCCGAAATCGGATGAAGATATATATGAGAGCTATATCCAAATCTGAACCGATTTCGATAAAATTTAAAACAGCTATTCCTGTGCTCCATCTAATACCTGGTACCAAATATCACGGTTGTGGAGTGCATAGTAGGAATGTGAGGAACTTAAAGATCAAATCGGATGAAAGATATATATGGGAGCTATATCCAAATCTGAACCGATTTCAATAAAATTTAAAACAGCTATTTCTGTGCTCCATCTAATACCTGGTACCAAATATCACGGTTGTGGAGTGCATAGTAGGAATGTGAGGAACTTAAAGATCAAATCGGATGAAAGATATATATGGGAGCTATATCCAAATCTGAACCGATTTCAATAAAATTTAAAACAGCTATTTCTGTGCTCCATCTAATACCTGGTACCAAATATCACGGTTGTGGAGTGCATAGTAGGAATGTGAGGAACTTAAAGATCAAATCGGATGAAAGATATATATGGGAGCTATAGCTATATCTGAACCGATTTTCTCCAAATTTGATATACTTGCTTCTAGGCCGAACTCGGTTGGGTGTGCCTAAATTCAGGTAATTTGGACTGATAGTGGATATTTGGTGCACATTTAACCCGAAATCGGATGAAGATATATATGGGAGCTATATCTAAATTTGATCCGATTCTCACCAATTTCAATAGGGTTCGTCCTTGGGCCAAAAAAATATTGTTTGGAAAATTTCATCTCAATCGGATAATAAATGCGACCTGCATTTTGTTCACAAGAATACATGGACAGACGGACGGACGGACGGACGGACGGACAGACGGACGGACATGCATAAATCGACTCAGAAAGTGATTTTATGAAGGTTCTCAAAAGTAACTATGGGTCTATCTCGTTTCCTTCTCCATGTTACAAACAAATGCACAAAGACATAATACCCTTACCACTATGTGGTGTAGGGTATAAAAACCAGTAAGGAAAGCTCAAAAGTCGGGCGGGGCCGACTATATGATACCCTACACCACTATGCATATTTAGTAGAGCTCTCGTAAAAAGGTTTGTACAGGGCATATCAGAGCTCTATGAGATTTTTGGTACAAAATCAAAATCTATCTAATTCTATCGTGCATTTTACGAACTATAGCTATCTCTGAAAAGGGTTTCTCCAAATTTGACGTATTAGCTTCTAGATTGAATTCGGTCTTATGTACGAAAATTCATGCCATTTGGGCTGATATTGGCCATTTGATGCACAATTAACACGAAATCGGATGAAGATATATATGGGAGCTATAGCTATATCTGAACCGATTTTTACTAAAATTGGTGTACTTGCTTCTAAGCTGGTTTCGTTCGGATTTGCTAAAATTGATTCTATTACGGCCATTTGGTGGTCAATCACCCGAAATCGGATGAAAATATATATGAGAGCTATATCCAAATCTGAACCGATTTCGGTAAAATTTAAAACAGCTATTCCTGTGCTCCATCTAATACCTGGTACCAAATATCACGGTTGTGGAGTGAATATTACGAATGTAAGGGACTAAAACACTAAATCGGATGAAACATATGTATGGTTGCTATATCTATATATGAACCGATTTTCACTAAATTTGATATACTTGCTTCTAGGCTGAATTTGGTCCGATGTACTAAAATTCAGTCCATTTGGACTTATATCGGCCATTTGGTGCACAATTAACCCGAAATCGGATGAAGATATATATGGGAGCTATATCCAAATCTGAACCGATTCCGATAAAATTACAAACAGCTATTTCTGGGCTGTATCTTTTATCTGGTACCAAATATCACGGTTGTGGAGTGCATAGCAGGAATGTGAGGGACTTAAAGATCAAATCGGATGAAAGATATATATGGGAGCTATAGCTATATCTGAACCGATTTTCTTCAAATTTGATATACTTGCTTCTAGGCCGAACTCGGTTGGGTGTGCAAAAATTCAGGTAATTTGGACTGATAGTGGACATTTGGTGCACATTTAACCCGAAATCGGATGAAGATATATATGGGAGCTATATCTAAATTTGATCCGATTCTCACCAATTTCAATAGGGTTCGTCCTTGGGCCAAACATACATTGTTTGGAAAATTTCATCTCAATCGGATAATAAATGCGACCTGCATTTTGTTCACAAGAATACATGGACAGACGGACGGACGGACGGACAGACGAACTGACATGCATAAATCGACTCAGAAAGTGATTCTATGAAGGTTCTCAAAAGTAACTATGGGTCTATCTCGTTTCCTTCTCCATGTTACAAACAAATGCACAAAGACATAATACCCTTACCACTATGTGGTGTAGGGTATAAAAAAAAACCAGTAAGGAAAGCTCAAAAGTCGGGCGGGGCCGACTATATGATACCCTACACCACTATGCATATTTAGTAGAGCTCTCGTAAAAGGTTTATAAGCTCTTCTTTAAGAAACATAGAAACAAAATCAGTAGGCTCTAAAAATGAAGTAGGGACTTATTTCAGCAGATTATGATTGTATTTTATATTCTACATTCT